TTAGCACGCTGAATATCTTGCGAACAAAAAGCTCTCCATCTCAAACGTAAAATCTCCGACAAATTATCAAAGCAAACGATGCGGTCGGACAATTTAGCTCACGCGTGAGTCGCTCTTTTCGCGCGTACAATTCAGCTCGTCGCAATCTTTTTATTTCGGATCAGAAAAAAAGAACGCAAGCCGACTCGTAGAATATTGCCGATAAAACCGTGTTGTGCGACGGATACGCTGTTGCCGCAAGAGCCCTGTTGTTTCGTCGGCTCGTAAAGAAGAGGATCGGTGCTGCAGGAGCGAAATCCAGCGCGTATCGAACTACATTGAGCTGTATCAACCGGGATCGGGTACGGCCCGCGCTCGTAAAATTCGAACTCAACGGATGCGAGCACACAGAGTCCAACACACACGACCCGGATATTACGACGTAAGTACTCGCATCATATTACAGTGATCTTCCAGCATCGCGAGCATTTACGCGATTACTCGAAAGATTATTACCGTGTTTACTATCGAATAAAAGGATGACTTTCGCGAGATCGTAGAAATTGATCCTCTCCTATCCGCTTTTTATAATTTAACCGGCGATTAAATAATTTGGCCGAAATAAAATTACATCGTGACCACAGATGATGAGATTCTCTCAAAAATGGAACAATAAAAATTGGAAGAGTCAAAAAAGGAAATCTAATTTAATCTGAGAATAATGATACTTATTTTTACATGTACTTTTAAAACACATTTGCTATGCGCTTTTTATTCCTAAATATTATGGATATAGATGTCTTTATTATTTTATAAAAAAAAAGAAAACACATTAAAAGACTAGAACGAGTATATTAAGGAGACTACAATGATTTCTGAGGACTAAAAAAATCCAAACACGATCGTTCCCGGATTAATTGTAGATATCATATGTGTATCACAAGGCTCTTTACTCGTATTAATTTCGCTAGTTCCCGCATACAAACGTTCGCAATAGAAAGGAATCGACTGGAAGCTAGTCCGCACTAAGCGAGAACGCCACACGATGCAGAGTGCCGAGTAGCTTGGTCAAACGCGGTCCTAGAGGAACTCTCGAATTCTCGAAGAAGCATGAGTAACGTGTGAGCAAGGGTTATGTGACGGTCGGTCAATGCGGTCGCAGCACAAGCGGCGGTTCTTCGCTACAATTTAACTTGGCATGAGAAACTGTTGAACGCGAGTTTCCTGATGAATATACCACGGTGGAGTTTGCCGAGCTTATGTGTTCATGTGTGCGGCTACATGTTAGCGCACGAATTATGTCACGTATGACGTTGGTATAATTATGTATACTCAAACGAGACAAAATTATCGCTGTCATTACAACGCCGTATACACACAATATTTTCGCGCTTTAATAGCGCGAGGATAAAGGTAAATTCCAACGTCCACTTAAAACGAAAATACTAGCGTTACCATTTCAACGCAGAATACGCGCATTCCGAAAATAAACTGCCTACCCGCAAATCCGAATTTTTTTTTTTTATTTTCTAAATTCAATTGCGTATTTTTCTTCTCCGGAATCCGCGTAACGAACGCAAATAGGGAACGAGAGTTAAATAAAATGCTACGTGTCGAGGAGGAAAATTTCAATTTCTCGCCCGCGAGACGAGGTAGGAAACTCGCGAGTTTCCAGCCGCGATACGATGTATCGGATTTGGCGATGGCGGGTTGATGCACACGTCACACTTGGTGAACGCGCGTAGGAAGACAGGGGGAGATGCGAAGAGAAACGAGGGACGCATTGAGTCCTCGTTCGGGAGTTTACGTCCATTTTCATTTCGACGCGTCGCCAGCCTTTCACCCGGCTGCTAGCGCACCGAAGTTGCCGTTCGGCGAATTCGCCAATGAAATACGAGGGGTGATTAAACGGAGCGATCGTGGTGCCCGACGGTATATACGGGGGACCAGGGAAAGGATTACGTACGTATGGGAAAAGACCGGTGGTTTCGGAGCCGCTCAAAAGCGACTACGACGTCCGATAATTATCTCCCGCGGCGACGCTCCATTTTGATTAACAGCGGCATTTCGTTTAAAGTGATGTTACTTGATTCAATTTACGAATATGGCCTTCTAAATGTCTGCCGACGATCACGTTAAATGCGAGTGGAATGATGCGAATAAAATGGGTAAATATTCATGTCGCGTCTTATCTTGAAAATATCGAAATATCCGGAAAACAAATTGCGCGTCTGCGTAATGCAGTCCTTTTCACTTCGAAAACTATTTAAAAACTAAACAACAAATTATAGCGAAAGCACAGAATAAATCAACGCTCTCTTATTTCTGTAAAGTTTCCGAGCGAGTTATGAAATGATGGTAAAATGAATATTCAACCTGTTTTATTGCATGAGTTACTGCAAAATTAATGTATACATTATTCTATTTCACAGTTCGCCTAAAATCGACAGATGGAAATTATCTCAATGTTTGTGTAAATAACATTAAATGCTAAAAGATGTTTGCGAAAGGTAAATCTGAAAGACGATATTTCGCACCTTATCCCGACCTTTTCGAATAAAATCCAATCGAATCTGACACGACTGCATGCCCACGCGCACGGCATTTCTCACGTAATATGCGCGCTACATTAATCGTAGTGCGCCTGCGAGAGCAAGTATTGCGATAACGAGCAAAAAAGCAGATCCAAAGAGGAGATTTCCATCGAGTGCGCGGTTCCCCTCGCCGCGCCTCACCCGTCGCTCTGTTGACGTTTCCTTCGAGTCTCCTCCGGCGAAAGGAGGAAGGAGCCGTAGATATACTCGTTGTGGGGAAGAATGACCCATTTTATCGGAAACGTAAATACGGAAGGGACGGAAGGCGCGGCGAGGAAAAGAGAGCGGAGACTACCGCATATCGTTACGAAATGAGTCGCGCCGTCACTCCAGCCTTCAAAACGTTTGAACGAGGCACTTAACGTAATTACTTCACTTGACGAGCTGCGAAAGCAATTGTCATAGAGACCGTACCCCGACTATTGGATCCTCGTGTCAATAAGAATTTTTTAAGTGCAAATTATAATTTCAGCAAAAAAATTTCTAAAGAAACAGCATCTCAAGATCTGCTCAAAATTCACGTTCGGAATAATATTAATCTTAGCATGATTTCATCTCAAAAGTTCGATATAGAATTTTCTTTGATAAATTTATGCTAAGAAAATTGCAAGTTCATTGTGTGATGCTTGCAAATCGATGGATAAATATATTACGAACGAGTGATGAACATTAATTTTTATTATAATAATACAGACTTTGATTTGAATTTCCACGATACAACATATAGATCGATTAGTCGTTATAAAAGTATGATTTTCCGCAGCAACGTCAATCGACTTTCTTTTCCCAAAATAAGTAAGAGATATGAACAGTCCCGTCAGTTTAAGCATCGTAAAATCGTGATTTGCGCGAATCCGGAGAGCGCGTAAATCTTTCCTCAGACTCATGCATTCGACCGAGCCGTCAAGAAAGGTAACGACCGTTCTTGCGAACTTCTTGAGCGCGAATTTTCCATTCACAGGAAGTGAGAACCGCGGATATCCGACGAATATTCAGTGAAACGTGAATTTGCTCGCACGGTGTTTTTTAATTTGGCGAAACCGGCGCGCACTCAAATGGCAAATTTTCCGGCGGCACACAAGATTACGTGTTCCAACAGATCAAACTATTACCAAATTAGATTCGCTCCCCGAGTTCAAACTATCTTGGCGCCACGTACGATCGTGCTTAGCAAACTTTGCGGATCTTCGTACGACGCGCCCGCCCGTCTTGCCTCTCCCGTACTCGCGCGGCAAGTTTCGCGCTCCAACTACCGCACGGCTCGGGATTACATGTGTGCCAATTAAACGCACATAACGCACGTGTAGGAGAGGCAGGCTGCAGGATATCGGTTGTGCCGTGCCGCTGGCGATAATACGATTCTTTCGCTACGTGCTCGCCGAGGCGCGGCAGCTCGAGCACGAAGGCGGATGAGACGAAACGGCGGCGAGCTGAAGGAAAAGCAACGAAGGGCTGGAGAGACGCGGAACGGGTGAGAAAATTAGGTTCTCGAGCCAGGGAGTGGAATCGACCCGATCATCCGATCAGGTGGAAAGGGTAGGTTTGTTCGGGGATCGCGCTATGTCACGTCGCGGAGCGGGACACCCTCTCACGTTCTCTCTCTCTCTCTCTCTCTCTTCCCCTTTCTCTCCTCTCTCGTCCGCTCTCCTTCTCTCTCGCTCGACACCTGTCGATCGAAGGATTAAAGAGGAGATACCCCTGTAGACAGTCAGGGATTTAAAGCACCATCCACTTCCCCCGCGAAACGTTTACCAAGCGGCGGAGGACGCGGAGAGAGGAAGAAAGGAGGGCGAAAGCGTGAACGGAGGCAGCGAAATCGCGCTGAGCGCTCCGGGTTTTCGGTGAGGATACTGCCCCCTGTTTACACGGCAAACGTAGGAAGTAATTCATCGTGGCTCGTCGCGACTAAATACATTCCTGATTCACCGAGGCCACGGTGTGTGTCTCTATCCTTCGCCGTGCTCGGGAGTATTACTCGTGCCCGGTGGTAAGTACCCTCGTTACTGGCTGCCGGAGGGTTCGTTACCTCGAGGAACCCCCGTGAGAGCTTTGTCTTCGGAGACACGCGGAGTACGCGGATGCTTAGAATTCTCACAGCGCCATTGTCGAGATTACGAATATAGAGCTCGTGACGCGAAGGCTGATTCTCGCACAATCGACGTAATTGCGCGAGAAGATGCAAATTGGTCAGCAAATAACAATCTTAGTCATCGGAAGTGTTCGGAATGCTAAAACTCGATAAGCTCATATATATATATATATATACATATATACATATATGGCATTTGTCACACTATTCATAACATTTTTGCGACAATAGTTTTGGACCGTATAAAAAAAATCGCGAATAACAAAACTAACTCGATCTTCGGCAGCGTGATTCAATGGATTTCTCGTCTCGCGGCGATTAATCGAAAAAAAACTCACCATAGTGTCTTTGATATGATCAACTGGTTGCAGTAGGACCGCCGTGGTACCGAGTGTCCTATGATGCTGCTGCTGCTGCTGTTGCTGCTGCTGCTGCTGCTGCTGCTGGTGATGCTGATGATGATGGGGGTTGCAGTTAGTAACGATGTTGCAAGAGCAGGTGCAGGCGAGATTGCAAGCCTGCTGAGCACCGAAAAGATGTCCCACTAGCCCCGGGGTGATCGCTGCTGCCGCCGGATTGTTAATGCCGTTTAGCAGGGGCGGGGGCAGGGGCACCGCACCACCCGGGACGAACGGGTACGAATGAAAATACGTGGTGATGGGGGAACGTGCCTCGTCAGCGTCGATGAACGTCTCCGCGAGCCAGGACTTGCTCGTAGGAGGATACGAGAAGAGTCCGCGATGCGCCGCGGCCGCAAACGACTGCTGCAGGCTCCAAAGGGTACGAGCGCGTTCCTGCGCGCGTTCCAGCGAAACGGCCTGGTAGCGAGTTTCCGTTTTGCACGAGCGATTCCACTCAAACGTGGGCCACCACAGCTTGAACCAGCACCCGCCCTTGTTCTCCTCCCGCCGGTCCCCGTTCAGGGACACCGCTTTTCCTCGTGTCTCTCTTATTTTCGTTGCTTCCTCGTCGTCCTTCCCTTAGGACAGGACGCTCGACCAACCGTTATATTTTCTCTTCTTCGCTCGGTGGATCGACCGATGCACGTGTTTTCGTTATGAGAGAAAGAAAGAGAGAGAGAGAGAGAGAGACGGTGAGAGCCGATCTCAATAGAGCAGCGACGAGAGAGTAAACGTTCGATTGACAATCGGTATCGCGGATCTCGATCAGAATACGGCGATCGATAGTAATCGACTCCAAGCGTAATCGTTCGGACGTGAGACGCGCGCGGTGAGAGTAAATCTTTGACTCGCCAAGGCTCGCGAGAAACTTTGGTGTCGTACGTACGCGAGTACACCAAGCAGACTGGATTCTACTTACGAGCTAGACGACATATACATACACATGTAAAATTACACGTACGCTACTCTTATTACGAATATCGATACAACGACGAGATGTGTGTAATCTAAGCGGTATCTACACATGCAGCCGAGACAGCCAGAGGAGATCCCTAAGTGAACGTGTGCGTGGGTTTATCTTAGAACGAAGCGACGAACGCGAACGCGTTGTCGTGAGTGAGCTTCGAATGATTGTCAGCGTGTGAGCGAGCAGAGCGGGGGGGGGGGGCGGAAACCACGAGTTAAAGGGGGAGGTCCGCGAGGGCGGATGACGACGGGCGACTGACAGAAAGAGAGGGGAATTTACGCATGCGAATTAAATATGTACTTAGAGTGCGGAAGAGGAGCGCGAGAGAAACGGAGAGAGAGAGAGAGAAAGAGAGAGAGAGACAGAGAGACACCCTCGTCTCTCGCTTCGCACGATTCTTGCTCGTACGTGTAATTGAAACGACGTAGGTACGTGAATTTTTTTTCAATCCTCCTTTCCTATTCTTTTCTACACTTCCTTTTCCTCTCGTTAATCCCTTCTATTAATTCGACGATCGAATGTTACCCTATTGAAAAAACGGTGATACACCTCGAGTTACAATACTAAGAGAGCTAGCTGAAAATGATTGTCACGAAGATTGACAGAGAACAATCCTATCACCGGAAATCCTATCACCGGGGAAAAGAGATCCTCGAGTTCCTTCTTTATTTTATAAGTGGCCTTAATTTTCTATCGCGCTTTGCGTTTCCCTTCTCTTCAAGGTTATCCTGCCGGATTCGAATCACGCGCCAACTATTCGCGGCGCGTTGATCGGATATGTGCGAGGGTTGTATACGTAAAAACGTATGTATACAAGTGTAAATATATATATATATGTATATATATATATATTGATTGTATATATAATATAGATATTGATATAGAGGGCGTATATACACACGTAGAATCGGTACAGAGGCTGGAGATCACATAAAGACACGTAGGTCGATCGCTCGACCTCTTATTTCGTAATAAACACGTACATTACTGCCCCGACCGAGAAAAAGTCGCAAACGCTTTCCCCCCTCCTTCCTTCGATATGTCCCAATCCACTACAGTTACAATTGATTGTCTTGACGCGATTCTCTTTGTTCCTCGACGGTCACCTACGGCGCAGATGACGCGATTGTTTATTAATTCTCTTTTTCTTTAATTTACTCTTATCTGTTTAAGCCTAAGATTTATTTACGACGAGACTCGCTTTACACGCATACGTACCTAAAGAAAAGAGAAAAGAGAAAATCAAAATTTTTCCTTTTATTACTATTACTTGATTTCTCTCAAAGTCTCGCGAGGTTATTCTCGATAATTTAACGTCCGAACGACTACCATTTAGAAGTGATTTAATTAACGATACTCTTAATTGCCCGAAGCAAAAAAACGAAGCGATCGATGTCTTTTTCCGCTGTTTTCTTTTTTTCTCTCTCGATCGCTCTTGCTTGAAACTATCGGCGAGGAAATTGCTGAAGCGAGACGGTTACGTGATCTCGGTCTCGCGTCTCTTTGCAGAGATACTTATGTATTCGTCTAATGTCAACTCTTGGACTACTCGGTGGGCTTCTCTCGCCTTTTCGCAGCAATCTTTCATTCAGCTTGGCGTATTCTGGCCAGCAGCCATTAGACGACGATCGGAAGGGATTAGGGGAGTCGATAAACAGTTTCTCATGGAACCCAGTACGTCTCTGGTCGACGTGTGTGTGTCACAGAAACGAGTCGATGACGACAACGACGACGGCACCGCGACGATGACGACCTTGAACCTCGCTCGCAGTTCAGTCCGGCAAGCTTCGTTCCACGACAACCGGTGGCTCGTGCTTGGCACACACAGACACCCACACACGGACTCAAAGAGGGGAGACAACAGGGCGCGCAGTCAGAGGGCTGCTTTATGCATGCGTACTCTATTGCAGGCGTACAAAGTGAGAGCGAGGGATGCGTTTAAGTGTGCTCCACGGCGCTGATCACGTGGTCTTGCTTGCGTTGCTTCTTCGACTTCTCTCTTCTTCGCGCTGCGTTTTTTCAGACTGTTGCGAGCGAACGGAAACGGCGAGCGGCGGCGGCGTGGACGAGGGTGGCGTCTATCAGCTCGTACAATCAGCTCGTACGCGCGCGTATCCCGTCGATCGAGACGAAAAAGGATAAACGAAAGCGAGATTGGCCGAGTTTGCTTGCGCGAAGAGAAAAAAGCGGGCAAGGCTGATCGTGGATGGCGCGTGTGTGTCTGTCTGTGTGTGCGTATGTCGTACGAGCGCTTATACCGCGAGCCTCGCGCTTGCTTTTGTCTGCGTGTGTGTGTACGTGTGTGTGCGTTCCGTGGCGGGGTATGTATCAGACTGTGAAAGAATAGCGTGGAAGGAAACAGATGTAGCGAAGACGGAGAGAGAGAGAAGGGAAGAAAAAAAGAGGAAGGAAGAGTGTGTGTGAGTGTGTATGTGTGTGTGTGTTCGTGAAAGAGAGAGTAACTCGGAGGCGGAACGATTAAAGTGCGTCCTACTCGATCGCCTAGCTTGACACAACTGAGGAGCGTCTCTCACGCGCGACGCCGCGTAAGCTTCCGCGCCGCCACCGCCACCGCCGCCGCCGCCGCTGCCGCCGCCGCCGCTGCTGCTGCCGCCGCTACCACCGCTGCCGCGGCCTCCGCCGATTCGGATTACAGCGTATACGCGCCTTTCAAACGTGCCTTTCTCGGCCCCCACCGTGCAAACTGCGACACGCGGCCAATGGGGTGCGAGAGCACACCGAGAGAATGCGAGCCCGCACGAGGGCTGTCGAGTCTGCGCGGCGTCGGCGATAGTAACTCTCGTGAATTCTCTCCCTCTCGGCCTCTTTCACCCTTGCCGCCTCTTCCACGCCTTCACCGAGAACTATCACCTTCCTCTCCTACGATGCTTCGCGAGCCCTTCCAACATCCTCCACCTCTCCCTCCTCCTCCACCCCCCCCCTTGCCCCCTGACATGCTGCACCCCCGGCCGACCCTCCTCCGCGGACGCGTCCATCTGAGATGCGCCACCGCGATCCCGAAACCGCTTCTCCCGAAGTTTCCATCCCCGTTTCCACCCGTTTGCCGCGAAACAAACCTTGCGCGAGAGAGGAAAGAGCTTGTATTTATTATGCGCCCGAACGGATTCTAGATCTTCCGTGAGTGAGCCAAGATTCTACTCGGTTTCTCTCCGCGAGAGAGCACCTGCCATACGTTAGAAAGATTTAAGAAGATGCGCTATCCGACCGACTTCAGATGCATTACATTTAATACCCTTGGCATATTCCAATCTTGATTGTTATCAATTTTCAAAGAAGAACATAGATTTGATGAACATAATTGATACGAGATAATGCGTTAATACCAGAGGATCTCATCGTCGAAGATCCGATATACACACCTAATTCTAATTATTTCCTAAACGCCTAAACTTCCACTGCATGTACTTGACTCTAATTTTTTTCAATGGCACATCTTGAAATTGATACAGGAGCGAAAATGTTCTCGGAGCAGGGTCTGCTCACCGGTGATAATTAGCATAATAGTCGGAGTTTAAGGTTAAACATCAGCAAACCCGTTTCTTTTAACGCGCACCGTCATAGTTGCAGCCGTGCTGCGCGCCGCTTAACGATAGCACTTTCCAGCAAAAGTACATTGAAGAAGTTCAATGGATGGCAATAAAGCACCGGCGTCGCAAATGGCTGCTTCCACTCAGTCCGGCGCGCGTTATAGCAATAGGCCGCGCGCTCTGAAACAACCGAAACTTTCACGTACCAAGTACCCGCGAGTCGAGCAGATGAAAAAGTTTCAGAGACAAATAATGAAGGGAAAACGCGTAAACAGAAGCCTCGTGAGTGCATCCGCCGAGAATGGGAAGCGAGGAATAGCGGTGAATCGCGGATTCTCAAGTCAGGAGCGAGGAAAGAGAAAGACGTAAGTGTGAAGAAAAAGAGGAAGGGCCGCGCATTGCCATTCGTTCGACGAGCGCTCTTCAGCAAGAGTTCGGAGTGTTTGTTCGAAGCGGAGATTACTGTTTTCGCGGAGAAAGAGACGGCGAGTAAGAGAGAAAATACGACGTGAGAGGGAAGATATAAAGAGACAGAGAAATGAAGGAAGGAGAAGAAGAGGGAGGAAGAGAGACGAGAGAAAGAGAGAGAGAGAGAGAGATTCGAGCATAATCACCTACTTCCATCTTGTCGTCCTGACGTCAGAACGGAAACGGCGGAACGGCCGCCTATCGTCGAAGAGTTTCGACGGGTTCGCTGATTGTTCGATCGACAAATTCAGAGCTCCAGAAACAAACCTTGATCGGGATCGATTGCGCGTGCGAACGATTTGCTAGGGCATTTATGAAGGGCACTTCAATAACCGGCTGGAAATGCGGTAACACGATTGCCGTGAAAAGGGAAAATCGAAAGGGCTAATAAATGAGAGAAATGTGTCAACTATTTTATGAAAACTGAATTATCTCCGCGTCAACGCCTAATTACTCTTAATTGCAGTGAAATTAAAATGACTGAATAAAAAAAAAAAACCGACCATCGTGTTTGTTGAAATAATGAGACGCGAAAAACGCTCGGTATAACAACTGAGTTTCATTTTAATAAACCAGTACGAAGAATTTTTCTGGAAAGTTCTGTTACATCAGATATGCCTCCGTTTAAAAAGGGAGTTGGTGACGTCAATAGAACGCCATTATAAAGGCTAAAACTGGAGTGTCCGTAGTCATTGTAAATGCTTGCAACTTTCATAAAGGACGCTTTGTCCGCTTGCCGCGGCGCAGGAGTATCAAGCTTGTCATGTAAAATTATGTAAAAACGTACTGTTATGTAAAAACGCATAGCAAATAGGCAAATATTTGCAGATTTTAAATTAGCAGTCCTACTCTTCGAGCACACGCAGATTTATTTCAGCGATTTTTAATAAATTCCATAGCGCACTATTATATGTTTACTATCTACGTTTACATTTTCAAATGTCATTCTGTTTAAACTCGACTTCTATATTTAAAATACCTATCGTCAAACATAGGACTAAAAATGTTATAAAATACGGAGCGGCGAACAATGAAACAAAAATAAAACATTTTAGGCGACTCTATTTGTCGTAGTTTTATAAAAATTTAATATGTCGTAGGTTTACGATAAAAAATTCAGTAATTCTTATTTTATTTTGCGGTCCACATATGAGAGATG